AACACAACCACACGACTCACATGGTTGAAAACAAAAAGAATCTAGTGAGATTACAACTGAAAATACATCTATTACTTACAATTTTGAGCCACCGACTAGTCTTCAAAAATTACAGCTTAGTGAGTAAATGGCTTAAGCAAGAGATCACAAAGCATTGTACTGCAACTTTCTCAAAAAGTAATGTATTGCACAGGACCATTTATCATCAAGCCGTTAAACAGTCTCATGCAGACAGAATCTTGGTGAAGTGCAATGTAATAAAAAAATATATTAGAATGGAAATATAGAAGAAAATAAATTTTTTTGTCTGTGTCAGCAGCCATTAGCTTAAGAGTGTTTTTACTGAGCCATTCAAGTCCATTCATCTTACCTTCATCATGGCGCTGCGGGCCACAGCAGCGGAGCCGGGCCTCTCAGAATCCCCACACAGCTGGACTGGGTCATCCATTACTGCGTTCCTCTTGAACAGAATGGAGGGGGCCATGAAGGAATATCCCTGCACAAAGAGGCACAAGAAAGAGCCCTCTGTGTTTACATTGTACTACAGCNGTGCTCATTTGTGAGTGACAGCAGCTGTCCAGCTGTTCCTATTATTAAACCTCCCATTGTGTAGAGTTACTGCTTAATTCCAGCTGTGGGGCGCCCAGAGCTTTGAGCTGGCWCTAATCTCCCTCTCTTTTTTCCACCAACACACACACAGCTGTGTGGTATGTAGTGACAGGAATGGATGGACGGAAGGATGGATGCTGAATGAATGAGATGCCCTAAATTGCCAGGCTTGAATATTTGATTGCTCTACTGTGAAATTACATCTTGGCGCTTTTAATGCAATTTTAATTTTGTTTTGTGAGGCACCACGGGGGAGCAAGTGCACGGTTTAAACTGGGATTGCTGTCGTTATCTCAGAGATTGCTAGGCTTGCAAATTATAAAGACCACAAAATTTCAGACTGTGAATGGCAGCTGAGAGGGGGAAAAAGCCAAGATGAAGTTGGCAATCAAAGATTGAAGGCGTAACCGAGATAGACGTGGTGATGCTCTCGAAGTGTAACCTTTTATTTCATGAGAGAAGCCCGTTAATGGATCTATTGATCTACTGAGCTCAAGGATCCAGAAGGCAATCAGAGTTGAAATTTCACGCAATACATCAGACAGCTATCAGCTGGCACGGAGTTGTGGGCCATATTATGGTTCAAAGCTACATCAAAAATAGTCATTCACATCTGTTACTTCAATAAGAGCTGCATATGGCAGCAATTACGCCAATAAAAGACTCTTTAGTCAATTTGAATACCAATGCACACAGACAGACTCATGTTGACTTACAGCAACCTTTTGAGGACATTCAAAACTTCAATTGATGGCTTCAATTGCTGTGAAATATGTCAAATATAGTCACAGACAAAAAGTGGGTAATGTAGAATGCATTTTTTTTTATCCATGTCAACATTTCTTTTGCCTGCAGCCAAAGCCCAGACAAACACAAGCATAAAAAAATATAATAGCAATTCATAGTACAACCAGGCATGTACTTGTCTAGTAAGTTTCTGGTACTTGCTAATATGGACCAAATACAAATTTCAAGGTACAAATATGACACACCTGGTACTTRCCAGGAACATGCATGTTACTTATCAGGTATGTACCAGGGGCCTCATGTATAAACGGTGCGTACGCATAAAAACGTTGCGTACGCCAGGTTCTACTCCCACGTTGTGATGTATAAAAACCAACGTTGCGTGAAAGTGTGCGTATATTTACGCACAATTTTCACCTGCCGTGAGAATGTGCTGCAGCCACACAAAGTT